TCATAAAGGAGAGGCTATTGGAAAAGCAGTTGAGGCATGTTTAGAGTATTGGGGTATTGATGATAAACTTTTTACTGTCACTGTTGATAATGCTTCTTCAAATGATGTTGCTTGTGCACACTTGAGTAGAATGGTTAGAAGAACAGGATGTATAAATGATGGAAAAAATCTTCATGTTAGATGCATTGCTCATATCATTAATTTAATTGTGTGGGATGGTATTAGAGAACATGGTGTGTGCATTGATAAAGTTAGAAATGCTGTGAAATATGTTAAGAATTCCCCTGCAAGAATACTTAGATTCAAAGATCTTGTGCAAAAAGCAAACATAGATTCAAAATCTTCTTTATCCTTTGATGTCCCCACTCGTTGGAACTCCACATACATAATCTTGGAAACGGCTTTGAAGTTTCGACGTGTTTTTAGTGGGTTATCTCTTCCTGATGGAGAGGATTTGAATGACAATGAAAGGCCTCCCGAACCCGAAGATTGGGAAAAAGTGGAGAGGTTGGTTTTGTTTCTAGGGGGGTTTTATCTGTTAACTAAACGAATTTCTGGTTCCCATTATGTGACAGCTAATAAAGGTTTAGGAGAAATTGCTTCTATGTATGATATGTTGAATAATTGGGAACAAAGTGAGGACTTGAATTTTCAAGCCATGGCCATTGCAATGAAAAAAAAGTTTGATAAGTATTGGGGGGATGTGGATAAGATGAATAAGTTCATTTATGTTGCTCTTCTTCTCGACCCTCACTCTAAGATGGTCATTGTTGAATTGACACTAACGGATATGCATGGACCGGAAAAGGGTACAAAACTTGCTAATGATGTGAAGGAGTTCGCTTACTCTTTATTTGAGGAATATAGAAAAATGTATGCTACTTCTAATATTCCAGATTGTGGAGATAATATGTCAATGGATATTGATAATAGTAAAGGAGTGGGTTCCGATTATGTGAGGAAACTAAAAGAAAGAGCAAAACGATTGAAGGGGACAAGTGGGTATGCGATAAGTGAGTTGGATAGGTACTTAAATGATCAATTAGGGCCGGAGGAGGAAGAACAAGATGCATTGACATGGTGGGGTAAGAATGGTCAGCGTTATGTGATTCTTAATCACATGGCACGTGACATACTAGCCATCCCATTGTCGACCGTTGCATCGGAATCTGCTTTTAGTACGGGAGGTCGTACTCTAGATCCATTTCGGAGTTCTTTAACTCCTAAGGTAATGCATCGTTATCTTTTTATTTTATAAAATCAAGTTTGTTTATATCTTAATATGACTTTGTTTATACATATTTGTGTAATATTTTTGTATTGAAGATGGTTCAAGCGTTACTTTGCACACAAGATTGGCTTAGAGCTAAGGAAGTGCCAATTGTTGATGTGGAAGAAAATTTGAAAGAGTTAGAGGAAATAGAGAAAGGTAGTAATAATTTTATGTATTTGAAATTTTGTTACACCAAATTTATTATTTCATTGTTATCAATCATTAATATATTCTATATTGTATTTTATTTAGAGGTGCAACGTGGTGAATCTAACGATGTAGACGATGAAGTTGTTTTCGTGGACTCATTAGTGTGAAGCACGCGATCAAAGGGAAAACAACTCGTTGGAGAATTTATGTATTCCTAGTACTTGAGAGTTGAGACTTAAGAGAATTTATGTAATTTTATGAGTTTTCGTGGACTTATTTGTATTTTCGGTGGACTCATTTGTATTTTTGGTGTTTGAGAATCGGGACTTTATAGACTTTATGTAGTTTTGTAATTGATAATTTTGGTTTGTATGTAATTATTAATTATGCAACAGGTCTAAAAATCACAAAACAGGTCCATATGCAGGTCCATATGCAGGTCCAACAGGTTTTGTATTAAAAAAAAAAAAAACGAAAAAGACACAAAACAGGTCCATTCAGGTCCAAACCCGGACCGGACCTGATTTTTCAGGTCTGGCCCGGAACCGGACCTGTTAATTCAGGTCCGGTCCCCGGTCCTCATAATTACCCAATTCAGGTCCCCGGTCCAAACAAGTCCGGTCCAGGTCCGGTCCGGTTTTGGACCGGTGTACACCCCTAGTCAGAGGCATAGACACCCTCCGGGTTGGCACCGTGATTATGTGGCACATACTGTTTCTCTTCCATGTCCATCTATCTCTCACAGTTCACCGCCAATTCCAAGCTCCTCAGGTACTCCTTACCCCTTAGCACACTTTGTGAATTGTGATAAATTTTCTATGCGACACCGTGCTTTTATTGCAGCTGTAGATACGGCAGTTGAGCCTCGCAATTTTAAAGAAGCTATGCAACATGAAGGTTGGAAAGAGGCTATGCGGAAAGAAATATCTGCATTGGAAGATAATGAAACTTGGGTCATGGAAACATTACCTCCGGGTAAAAAGGCTCTCCGGTGCAGATGGGTTTATAAGGTGAAACATAATTCCGATGGCACGGTTGAACGATTAAAAGCTCGTCTTGTTATATTTGGTAATCATCAGGTTGAGGGTGTTGACTACATTGAAACATTTGCTCCCGTTGCTAAGATGGTCACTGTTCGTGCTTTCTTAGCTGTTTCTGCGGTGAAAAATTGGGAACTGCATCAGATGGATGTTCACAATGCTTTTCTTCATGGCGATCTTGATGAGGAGGTGTATATGAAGCCTCCCCCTGGCTTTCATGGCACCAAACCTGGTATGGTTTTTCGTCTTCGGAAGTCTTTGTATGGTCTCCGACAAGTCCCTCGTTGTTGGTTTCCTAAATTAGCCGGTTCTCTAAAGAGGTACGGTTTTTTGCAATCGTACTCTGACTACTCTTTGTTTACTCTGCAATCTGGATCTGTTCAACTTAGTGTTCTGGTGTATGTTGATGATTTGATTATCTCTGGTAATGATTCTTCTGCTATTTCAACATTTAAATCATACTTGAGTGACTGTTTTCATATGAAAGATTTGGGTGTGTTGAAGTACTTTCTTGGTATTGAGGTTGCAAGGAGTCCGGAAGACATATTTTTATTTCAACGGAAATATTTTTATGTCAAAACGGAAGAAGTAGACTTTTAATATATAAGTGGTTAATTTTATTTATATGTATTAAAAGGAGCAAGAAAAAGATGGTGGTCCAAATCAAAGGGAAGAAAGAAAGGGGTGAATTGAAGGGTCATCATCTTTGAAGGCTGCCTAATTGTGGGACAACTTCACAAATCCATTCAAAAGTTTGGTCTTGTACAAAAGAATTTTACTTGTGACTAATTTTAGTAAAATATAGATAAAAATATGATTAAATTTTATTCAAGGGGGATGTTTTTAATGTTGTTTTGGTTAGGGGGATTACGCGTGGGTGTTGTGTGTTTGTTTTAAGAGTGGTCAGTGGTGAATATATGTTGTGTGGGTCACTAATTGTAATCTTATCACTTTGAGTGATAACAACCTTACATTGATACAACAATAAAAGGACATTGTTTTTGATGCAATGTGCATGAAAGGAAATAAAATTGTGGATAAAGATAAGGATTAAGTTGATCACATGGTGATGGCTACTTAGTCCATATTTGATAATTAGCTGATAGATGATTGATATAACTTATTGTATTAACTAATTTGACTAGCTGGTTATATTATACTTTCTCTTTTTTTTTAAAAAAAAAATTGTTTACAACAGTTTGACTTTTACACTATTCATGTGTTTCACTTTAACTAGTTTTGACGATTTATACATAAATAAAAATATAGCCATGTGGGATCTTGTTAGATTCGTCTCGATTTGTATAATTTTAATATCTAAAATATTTAATTTTTACATTTTGATAATCAAAGATATTAACGATTCAAAACATATATTGACAAGCGTGAAAAGAGAAGTGTTGTAAAAAAAAAAAAAAAAAAAAAGAAAAAAAGGGAAGTAAGCTATTTACCAAATACCCACATTAGCTTTTTTTTATTGGTCAAACCTCTAATTGGACAAAATAAGTCAAAAGCCCTTTACCAAATAAGGTCTTAATTTGAGGACTTGTGTTTTTTCATAGTTATAAATCACAAACATTAATTAAATTGGAGTTATTTAGTATTTTAAGTCAAAACATGTTAATTAATTTAAAATTGAGGAAGTATTATATAAGTACCCACATATGCATAATCATAATAATTTATTAGTATAGATTAGAGCTCATAAAAAAGCAACTCAACCTACTAACCGTACCCAAAATTTGCCCAGATATATGAGCAGGTTTTTTAGGCCTGAATTCTTATAACTCTGTTTCGGGTAATTTTTGTTCCAATTTTGCCCAGGTAAAAAATAGCCCAAAAGCTCACTAATGTTGGCCCAGAGCATTGAGCCCAAAATGGCCAATTTTTTTGACTAGGCCCGACTGTAGTTCATAAAGTATGGTGACTATTAATGGCTCGACCCGCTAGCCAGATCTACTTCAGCCTAGGAAGTGCATAAAATTTGCATAAAGCAATAGTTAAATGTTCAAAATTAGTAATTGTTCAGATTTTTTTTACTAAATGTTAAAAAGTATAGGTGTTGTACACCTATTTATAGTTGCACAAGGTGCATCTTAAAATTTACGCAAAGACTGAACCTGACCTTGAAAAGCCAAAACACCTGCTTTGGCTTGATAAGCCTGACAATATTTTGTAAGTTTAGACACAAGATTTTGTTCAAAAGGCTAGCCCAACCCGATTTTTGGTCACCTCTAACATAAAGACAAGATAATTTGTATAATAACTTATCCCTCCGTTTTTTTAAATACTTGCTCCACTTTTCTTTTTCGGCCGTTTTTAAATACTTGCTCCATTTTCTTTTTTGGAAACCTTTAACAATATTCAATTCATTTCTCATACTTGGTGGATCCAATATAATACTCTATCTCCTGCTATTCTTCCACTATTTTTGCTTTTTACAATTTTTTATTTTCTCAACTACCCCACTATCTCCATATTTTATTACTTTCTCCAATTTCTCCTAAAACTCCACGCATGGAGAAATGGAGCAAATATTTAAAAACGGAAAGAATACTTTATAAAACAACATAAACACAAGGCAGATACGAACTTACGAAGTACAAGTAGAATACAAGTACTAAACGAGTTATTCGAATGATTGAGCCGTAAAAAACACATTAAAATTTCACAAATGTATCACTGCAGTTGGTGGCATAGGCAATACATTGCTGCCATCAATCTATAGTCAGCACATGATTTTTCCCCCCTCTCTAAAACAGCGAGTAAAAGTATAATTAGGAAGTCCTCCTCACCATGGGCAAGTTACAATTCAACACATGAATTGAACAGGCGACGGAGGCCCTTGGTAGATTCTGCAATGTATTCTCTAGGAACATTCGATCTGCTTTTGCAAACTTTCTTCGGAATAAGACCAAGTCCTCCAAAACTAACGCATATCTCAGCAGAAATCGGATCAAACATAATTCCCTTTCAATCCCATAGTAATACTTTATCACAATTCTTTTAAGATGATTTCTGCAACATGAAGGAACAACTGAGAGAGCTTCTTCACAAAATCTTCGTTCCAGCACACATGTATCCTGATTGTAACGACTACTTGTAGTATCACCAGATGATACGAATCCCTACAAATTAAGTAGATGATAATCAAACTACAATTATTATACCATATATAAAATTATGACCAGATGATACGAATTCACACACTTACCGTCGGAAAGACAAGTGTTTCTAAGACAGGAGAACAATTCAGAAATGCTAGCAGCAACTTATCCCAAGAGTTACAACAATGATAAAGCTCTAGTCGCTTCAAGTTATTAAAAACGGGCAGATGATCATTTACGTCAACATAGCTTAAAACCTTCAACCAAAAGTTAACAAATAGCAATCCATCAATTTCACAAATATAGTATAAATCATTAAAAAAAAGAGTAGGAAATTGAGACAAACCTCTATGCATGCACCAGACAATGTTAAATGCTGAACATTAGACAAGGGCCTTATAAAGGTAAGCATTTGCACAGAAGAAACCTCAAATTCTTCCCTTAACAATTGATTTTCCAGGTAGACATCTGCTTTAACAAGGCAATTCATATTTGGGACAGAGTACTGTAAAGCTAAATTATCGGTGTATTCAAGATACTCCAAATTTGGAGTATTAATAATCACACAATCAGTATTGTCTACGTAATCAAGTTTATTCACAAATAAGCATAATCTCCGAAGAGAAGGGGAGGAGATATTTGTGAAATGGACGTGGTTCCAATAAACATCCACAATGAGGTCTTCAAGTACAGGACAACCAGAAACTAGCCTTGTCACAAAGGCTTCCTCGAAAATGAAAGCCACACGTAATTGGAGTAGTTTCAAGTTTGGAAGATGAAAGGATGACATAGTTGAAGTTTTATCAAGACTAAGGTTAACATCGAGCTTCAACACCTCCAAAGTTTCACAGTTGAAAATCTCAAGGGGGAGCAGACAATCACCAGGTTGCTTCACTTGAATGCGAAGGTCAAGCTCTCTGAGGCCACAACGGGTTAATGGAAAAGAGATCCACGCATTAACTTGTGTAGCTTTCAAGTCCGGGCAACAGTCTTTCTCTTCTGGACCATTAAACTTGCAATCCGTACAAGATGTGTCCGTGAAGTCTGCACCTACTCCAAGCTTAAACCTGGTAAGATACTGAGACTTGTATGCAGAGAGAACACTGTCAACAAAGGTGACAAAAGTGGGGAAACGTTGGATCGCAAAGGGAAAATCCGAACAATGAGATATAGGTGAATCATCAAATTCGAGGCTCGTAATCAAAGGGAATATACACCTCATCCTCTTGGACAAGATGCTAGTAACAGCAGCATCCTTGGTGGGAAGCAAAGACAGTATCCGAATCAATAATTCATCAGGTAAATTGGTGAGCCTATCTGATATAAGGATGTCACCACAATTTCGATCATTCTGTAACGTAGTAGTACTACATGGTTTCAACCTCAAATCCATAGGACTATAGGAGTATTATTAACACATAATCCCCTGATCCTGAATTAATTAATTCCCTGCTTCAATAAAATGAAACAAGAATCAAACTTATACGAAGTAATAAACTTAATCTAACATTAAAGGGTTATAGACAGAATTCTGCAATTCATTATCAACCTAATTCCCATCTAATAAAAGGGTGTCACTGCTATTTTGATCCATTAAGTATTTTTAACACAAAATTCCAACAACAAGAATTGATTCTTAATAACACAATTAATTATTTCCATGTTTCAATGATAAAAAAGTAAAAATAAAAATAAAAAAAATCAAACTTAACAATAAGCTTAATCTAACATTGAAGGGATATGAATAAAAGAATGCAATTCAAAATTAATCAAATTGGGCTCCAAAATCACATAAAATTCCTCTACATAAGAAATGAACAAAATTGTTTGTTATAGTCATTTATAAAATCAGTAATTATAACCTATAGTTCAATATTTCACCTCACAAGAACCCGGAATTGACTATACAGACAATTTGATTAACAATAAACCCTAGATTGTAAAATTGATATCTAATGATCAATAGCAATTAAAAATAAAATTACCTCAGGCTGTTTCAATGGAACAGAGAAAACTAAGAAGGGTCTTCAATGGAGAACTCAGATCATGCTTCTACGGTAGAACTCTGAGACACAGGAGTGAGCTTCAATGGAGGAGAGAGAAAGAGGGGCAAAAATAATTTTAAAGTTGGGAGGAAAATTCAGAGAAGCCCACGCTTTCTGATATTACAGTACATTATTAAACACTAATGACCTTAGAGCTTCTTCTTATACATTTATTTTCATTTCATTTCAGTTCAATTCAGCTCTTAATATTCTTCTCTTATAAAATATTCATTTCATTTCATTTCATTTCATTTCATTTCATTTCAGCTCAGCTCAATTTAGTTCAACTCAGCTCAGCTCAGTTCAGTTCAGTTCAGCTCAGCTGAGTTCAGTCAATGAGAACAGACCTTTATTAACCCGTTTTTCAAGAGAAAATCCTAGTTTCTCTTTTTTTTTTTTTTGGAACAAAGTTTATCTCCTTGATAACAAATTATAAATCAAAATTTGTTCCTAGTCATCTTGATATTTTGGTTAATAAATAAAAAATATTGAGTTGATTTATTTACATTTTTGCCATTTTGTCTAGTCATCATGTCTTTTTTGGCAAATAAATTAAAAACTGTGGGAGTCATGTATGACTAAAAGTTGTTAATTTATTTACATTTTTATTTTTTGATAAACTTGCATTTTCTCGTTTTTCTGAGTTTCATCTATTCATTACTCCCGCCATTTCATAATAATCGCAACATTTTGTCTAATATATATGTCAATATTTGAACATTAATATTTGTAAGTATAAAAAGTTAATAAATGAAAAAATATATATATATATTGGTATGAAATATAGTCAAATATATTGGTATAGAATATAGTCAAAGTAAACATTTGAATAATGCAAAAGTCAAAATGTTGCGATTATTACTAAACAAAGGGAGTATACACTAAGTCAAAATTGACTTGTTTAGAGTCTATTCTCATACGATTATTTTCAGTTCAACTCTAATAAGTTCAGTTCAGTTCAGTTCAGTTCATTCAGTTCAGCTTTTAATTTCCTTCTCTTATAAGAATATTCATTTCAGTTCAAATCACTTCAGTTAAGTTTAGCTCTAATAAGTTCAGTTCAGTTCAATTCAGTCAAAGAGAATAGGCCCTTAATGGTGCATTTATAAGAAAAAAATTAGTAAGTTTGATTTATTAGAGTAGTATTGAAATATATAAGTGTTTATATAAATGTAAGTTAATAATCAACCCATAAATAACTAAGTAAAGGGGTTTATTAATGAATAATATATATATATATATATATATATATATATATATATATATATATATATATATATATATGGGGAGGCTCTCGTGAGAATTTTTCTTATGTGAGAATTTTCTTATGCGAGTACACTTTTTATGTTCTAAATTTTTTACTCGTATGTTCTTAATTTTAAATATGATGTTCTAAATTTTTTTCCAGGTGTTCTAAATTAAATCAGATGTTCTAAATTGGACTCACATGTTCTAAACCATAAATTAATTAAGTTAGATGTTATAAATTTTGAATGACTTATTCCGAAATTTTAACTTATAAGTTCTAAATTTTAAAACGGACGTGTGTTCTAAGATTTTTAGTTATATGCTCTAAATTCAAAAGCGTTCCAATTTTTACTCGCGTGTTCTATATTTTTACATATATGTTCAATATTTTTACTCCCATTTTCTATATTTTATATCAAGTGTTCTAAATTTTTTATTCACACGTTCTAAATTTTAAATCAGATGTTCTAAATTTTAATCATATGTTCTAAATTTCATAAAACAATTTTTTTTTTTTAATTTTTACTCACATGTTCTAATCCTCAAATCAGATGTTCTAAATTGTTGCTCACACACATGTTCAAAATTATTATTCATATGTTCTACATTATTAGTCATATGTTCTAAATTTAAATTTGAGTCACATGTTATAAATTTTACTCACGTGTTCTAAATTATAGATCAGTTCTCATATAAGTATGAATTCTCACATATGAACTTATTCTCACCGGATCCCTCAATACACACACACACACACATATATATATATATAAAAGTAGAGTTTAAGCGGGAAAATTCCCTTTAAAAAAGATTTCACTTTAGTATAAGTATATAATTATTGTTATGAATTTTCAATATATCAACTCTATATGATTTTTACAAATTCTTAATCAAATAAATTAATGGTCAAAGTAGTGCATCAAACATCGCGTGAAATACAAGTGAGTAACATTAAAAAAAAAAAAAAAGAGGTAGTATGAGTAATTTTTGTAAAAGCTAGTAATATTAATTATTCATTAGTAAAATTATATACGACATACACAAAGAGTAAATAAGCATTAAATATCTTTCTTATTTGGTATTAGTAACATTAAAAAAAAAAAAAAGAGGTAGTATGAGTGTAGCCGGCAAAATGCACGGGATATATAAGAAAAAATATATTTAAAATATGAAAAGTTGATTTTGATGTTGTAATTTAAACTTGAGCTGTAATGGTCGGTTTTGGACTGGTCGGTTCTATTGAACCCTAATTAGCTCTGTTGTACTGAGTATTAATAATCGTATTATAATGTGATGACACCTGTTGTGCTATGCTGAAATATGATATTCTATGCTTTAATTGTTTATAAGCTCAAAAAACAGGGTCTTACTCTTTTATGTCGGTGGTCACGCAATGCTATTTTGAAGTTTACTTTTTCAAAGTTATAGAGGTTACCCGTTCAGTGTTATAGGGGTTACTCGTGTTACTCGGTTAGTATCATATGAGTTAGTGTCTTGCTCTAGGAGTTACATACTTTGTTTTGTTGCAAGTAGTTATTCGTTGAGGCCAGTTCCACAAAAACATGTTGTACTTTTTTTTTGGCTTTTGATGATTAAAGAAACGGAAAATGTTTGGAGTAAAGTCCCTAAAAAAAATGCATATAATTGAAGGGTTGGGGATTTATAGTACTATAGTGAATGGTTGATAACGAAACTGTATACTCATGGTAAAGCATGACATATATTATACTATATACCAAAAAAATACTCGTAAAACAAAGTGAAATTTTAGTACGTAGTGTTTAAAAAAAAGTGAAATGTTGGGGATTTTGAGTGGTACAGTGAATTGTATGTGGAGTTATATATTGTATTGTAAAATAGTAAAAGTGAAAGTGAATTTTTTTTTTATCTAAAATTTAGAGAATTAAAAATTAATGACAAAAAAAAAAGATAAGGTAGTTATTTTCCTCCAAAAAAAAAATATAGTGGAAGTTGGAGAGGAAGTTATCCAAAAAAAAAAAAAAATAAAATAAATAAATTAGAATGCAGAGAATTGCTTGAATGAAAGTTGGAAAAAAAACTCTACAATTATATATTAGATCAATAAATATTATATGTTATTAATAATTTTTTGTTAGTATTTTCTTATTTTATTTACTATTATTAAATTAAGGAAAATTTGTCAGAAACTATGAGTACCTTCAAAATGGAATTTTGTGTCAAAAACTACCTTACAATTTTGTTTTGCGAGAAACTACCATTTAAAATATTGTTTTGCAAGGATACCACATAACCCTCGTTGAATTTTCAAGTTTGACCTCAAAAACACTGTATTAAAACTTTTATGTAACAACGTAGTTTATGATTAAAAAAATGTATTTATTACTCCCTTTACATTTTATTACTTGCTCCATTATTTTTTTTTTTGAAAATTTTAACAATCAATAAGTTAATGTTAAAACAGACTGGGAGTGACACGTGTCACATCCTGATTTTTTCCCCCTCCAAAACTCCCTTTTCCTTTTGAACATTTTTTTTGTGAATATTCGATATAATTATAATAATATCATTCCCAATCTTTTATATTATCTTTAAGACAAAAAATACTCCTTGCGTTCCTGAAACAAACTTTGCATGTGCACGGTTTCCAAGGAACATCTTTGATCACTAATAGATTCGGCTATGTGTAAGTAAATTTTTTTTTTAAAAAAAATGATATTTGAATTATCTGTCATAAGGGGAATCTAATAAGATCAAACTTGTTAATTTATTTTGATTGTATAAATAATAAAATGTGGTCAAAGTTACTTTATTTTGATCACATGAATAGTAAGTGAGTCGAACTTTCAGGAACGGAGGTAGTATTCCTTTTTATTTGGCATTCATAATTCTTCCATACACATTTACATAAAATATTATTCCAACTCCTTTTTAATTACGGAGTATATGATAAACGAAATAATATTAAAGTTTGCCAAAAAAGTAAAGGACTGTTCTGATTGACTGAACTGAACTGAATTGTACTTATTGGAGCCGAGCTGAACAGAATTGAATATTTTATGAGAGAGGGAAATTAAGATAAGAACTGAACTGAAAATAAGTTGAAGAGAACAGACCCTTAACACTCCTTAATAAAACTGATTTCTATTATTGATATCAAAGAAATTACTTTAAAGCATCACATTTATATGCTAGATATAATATATATATATATATATATATATATATATATATATATATATATATATATATATATATATATATATATATATATATATATATATATATATATATATATATATATATATATATATATATATATATATATATATATATATATATATATATGCATGACACGAGGCTTAAGCTAGTATTTTGCTATTTTCCACCCCACTAGTGGTCTCATCATATCACATTGTAATATTTTTCATATTCTCTCTCAATTTTACTCGCTTTTGCTTTTTATAGATTTTACATCCATCATATTTTTAATTTCTATTATCTAAAACATTGTGAATGGAGAAATGAAACAATTAATTTTTAATTTTTAAATACGTGTAACAAAATATGTTACTCAAGGGGTACTCTTATGTTTTCGTATCTACCATTCAACTTTCTCTCTCCTCACTCCTCTTCTACCTCAACCATCACAGCCACCACCATCATCACTTCGTCGCCCACCCATCTACGACCTCGACCCATCATTACTTCGTCGTTGTTGAACTCGATGCATCTACGAAATGTCGAACTCGACCCATCATCAATTGAAGGAGCTTCAATAGAGGATATGGTCAACACTTCCTTTTGGGGTTGACCATGTCCTTAATTTCACCCTTCAATCCTAGGGTTTTCATTTTTTTTTTCAGATGTGGGTGGAGATCAAGGGAGGTGGGTGGAGATTGGGGAAGGTGGAGAAGGGAAATCTTGAGTTTTGTACAACCGCGACATTGTGGGCTTGAGAAAGGACGAAGAAGAGGAGGTCAACGGGGGAAAGAAGATCGAAGGTTGACGGGGAAAAGAAGATCGGCTTGAGAGATGGTGATTGTGATGATGGTAATGGCAGTGGTGGCTATAATGATGGGAAGGAAGAAGGAAGAAGAAAGAGGAAGAAGCAATTATTTACAATTGTGCCATTTGATTAACAAATGTTGTTACTCCAAATGAGTAACTGGGGCTACCTCGTAGTAAACTACTATAATCAAAGGTAATATACAAACAGTGAAAAAAAAGTCAAACATGTTCGTTATATTGGAATGAAGGGAGTATTAGTTAAATTCCACGTTCACATATTCTAATCAAAATGTGGCATTTATTTTGAAATAGATAGTAATTTTATATGTGCCCTATTCCTAATTAAATATAATAATAAGTGGCATATTACTAACAGCACTAGAATACATAACTTAAGGCTGGTAGACTGTTCTAAAAATTCAAACGAATGAGCCCGTATCAACGCATTAGCCGTTTAACTCATTTGGTGCATATATGCAAATAAATACACAACATTACAACATTACAACATTGCTGATTTGCTGATGTCAGCCATATTCAACACTTGAATTGAACAGGCTGAAACCCTTTCTAATTTCTGCAATGTATCCTCAATCAGCTTCCGATCAGATTAGACATACTTCCACCGGAATACAACCAATTCCTCCAAAGCTAATGCATGTGTCAGCATAAACTGGATCAAACTTATTTCCCTTTGAACCCCACAATAATGCTTTATCACAATTCTTTTAATATGATTTTTGCAACATGAAAGAATAACTGCTAGAGCGTTTCTACAAAATTCTCGTTCATCCAGATAGATAGGACGAATCCAAGTGCGAATGGTGCTACGAGGCTCAGTTAAACCCTGCAAATTAAGTACGTGATGATCAAAGTAAAATTGTTACACGACAAAATATGCTCCGCATTTGGAAAATTTTAATAACAAATACAGGAGATAAAATTACACACTAACCCTGTGGAAAGACCAGCGTTTCTAACACAGGAGAACAATTCTCATTTAGAAATGCTGGCAGCAATTTGTCCCAACAGATATAATCATAAAGCAGCTCTAGACATTTCATGTTATGAAAAACGGGCAGACGATCCTTTAAATCAACACGGCTTAGAACCTTCAACCAAAAGTTAACAAATAGCCATTCAATTTCACATTTATAATAAATAATAATAAAATATGAACAAGAAACCAAGACAAACCTTCACACAATTGCCACCCAAAGTTAAATGCTGAACATTAGACAAGACACTGATAAAGTTAAGCACTTGCACAAGACAAACCTCAGATGGCCCAACCGGGAAGATTCTAAGGTCGACATCTGCTTTAACAAGAGAATTCATGTTTGGGACAGAGTACTGTAATGTTAAATAATCAGTGTAGCTGAGATACTCCAAATTAGGAGTATTAATAGTAACAAATTTGTTATCAACATCATTATAATCATATCTATTCACAAATAAGCATAATTTCCGGAGAGAAGGGGAAGATATATTTATGAAATAGGCCTGGCTCCAAACCACATCCACCATGAGATCTTCAAGTATAGGACAACTAGAAACTAGCCTTGTCACAAAGCCTACCTCAGAAATGACAGGCACACGTAATTGGAGTCGCTTCAAGTTTGGAAGATGAAAGGATGACATGGTTGAAGTTTGATCAAGACTAAGATTAACATCGAGCTTTAACACCTCTAGAGTTTGAAAAGTGAAAATTTCTAGGGGTATCAGACAATCACCAGGTTTTTTCACCTGAATGCGAAGGTCAAGCTCTCTGAGGCCACAATGGGTTAATGGAAAAGAGATCCACGCATTGATTTGTGAGGCTTTCAAGTCCGGGCAGCAGTCTTTCTCACCTGGTAGATTACTTTCGCAATCTAAACAACAAATGCCCTTGAAGTCTACACCCACTCCAAGTTTAAACCTGGTAAGATACTGAGACTTGTATGCAGACAGAGCACTATTAACTAAGGCAACAAAAGTGGGGAAACGTTGAATCGCAAAGGGTCTATTCAAACAATGAGATATAGGTGAATCATCAAAGTCGAGGCTCGTAATGAAAGGGAAAATAGAGCTCATCCTCTTGGACAAGATGCTAGTAACAGCAGCATCCTTGGTGGGAAGCAAAGACAGTATCCGAATCAACAATTCATCAGGTAAATTAGTGAACCTATCTAATAGAAGGTCGTCGCCGCAATTTAAATCATTCTGTAAGGTAGCAGTAGTACTACTACATGATTTCAACCTCAAATCCATAGAGCATACAAGTTACACACAATTCCCAGATCTTGAATTAATTAATTCCCTGCTTCAATGAAGACAAGAATTTAACTTAATCTAACATACAATTTTGGATTTTGACTCATCATCAAAAAAATCAGACTCATTTATCAATTTGGGCTCCAAAAACTAAATAATCTCTGCATACAATTACTACGTATATCAAGTTATCAACCACATTATAACTTAGATATGAACATGAACAACACTGTAGAAACATAATCGATTGTTATAATCTTCTGTAAATTCAGCAATTATATCCTATAGTTCAATAATTCACCAGAAACCTAAATTGAGTAAACTCACAAATCAAATTAACTATAAACCCTAGATTGTCCAATATTTCCCTACTTCTACAGTTCTATTACGGTGAATAGTCCAAATGTCCAATCGTTATTCAATAGTTACTCCAATCGGATTATAATCATCAATTAGTCTAAGGTGCACCCTTGTGCACTTTAAATAGGTGCAACAACGTAGTCCAAAAGCCTAATTACACACAACCTAATTAAAAAAGCCCTAAAACTAAAAAATACGGAAACTGCAATACACCCAACCACACCCAATAAATGTAACGTCATTTCCAAACTCAAAAATCTTCTTCTTCTATATGATTTTCTCTCTCCTCTTTTTCACTTTCTCTTTCCTCTATTTCATTCTTTCACTAAAAAACTGCAAAAACATCAATGGACGTTAGGAAAGAGATGCAAAATCAAAAGGATCCTCCCCCAAAAAGGCAATTTTATGTAAATTTCACTTAATTTTGTTTGAATTTATATGATTATCACTTAATTTTGTTTGAATATTGTTCGAAATTTATTATTGAAATTGTCAAAAAAAATTAGTGAAATCAAACAGATATTTTTTGTTCACATTTCGAAATGTTTATGTTTATATTTTGAATTTTTATGTTCATATTTTGAATCCGTTTGTAAAACTTTTGAAATGCTTATATTCACTTTCTAAACCCATTTGTTCATATTTTTTTTTATGTATATGCTCACATTCTAAAATGCTTAACTATGTTCATACGCTGATACGTATTAAAAAATGAACCAATGCATATGTTCATATTTTGAATGCATATGTTCATATTTTTAATACTTATGCATTATGATGCATATGTTTAATAATCATATTATTTTTTTTTCTTCAATTTTTTATGTTCATAATAAAATGCCTTATATTCATAATAATCTTTTATATGTTCATAATGTAAATATTCATAGTAAATATTCGCTGTTCTCATTAAGTCTATTTATGCATATCTTTTCTCTCTTAAATGCATATGATCATATTTTTTACGCATATGTTCACCTTTTAAATGGTTATATTCACTTTAAGGAAACCAATGCTTACGTTCATATTTTGAATTGTTATGCTTACTTTCTGAAATGCATATGTTCATAAGTTTTATGCTTATGTTCACTTTTTGAAAAGATAATGTTCACATTTAAGGGAACCTATGCATATGTTCATATTTTGCATGATTATGTTCATTGATAAAAAAAATTTGCAGAAAATCAAATGAAATTCATACACAAATGAAATTGATCGAAGCTAAAAAAAAAAAAAAACAATTCATATGAATTCAAAAAATTAGATAAACAACCAATTCCATATTGTAAGTAACATATTCAATCGAAAAAACGAGAAAAATAGAAAAAAAATAGAGGAAAAAGGAATTAAAGAAGGAATGAGAAAAAATAGAGTATAATTTGTGAATTCAAAGATTCATATATACCTTAATCAATCGAAATTAAAGCACAAAATCGAAATTCACACAAAAATTCATACTTAATAACTACTTTCATGTTGTAAGAAACAAATTCAATCAAAAAAGTGTAAAAAAGGGGGGAAAATAAAAAAAAAAAAACCGAGGAGAGAGAAAATAAAAAATGAAGGAGAAAATAAAGGAGAAGAAACCTAATGTTCACTTTCTGAAAAGCTAATGTTCATATTGTGCTGTTGTTACACCTATTTCTAGGTGCATGAATGTGCACCTAAGAATACGCCTATAATCATTTCGTTCTTTACTCGTCCATTTGGGCTTCAGTTTTCTATTTTGAGCCTATTTCATGTGAGCCATGTATATTGTTTTACCCTTTGGCTAATTCAAATTTGGAGATCAGTTCTGGATAGTGAGCCATGTACATAGTACTACACTAGGTCACACGGACTATTCATCCAACTGTCGTGTCCGTGTCAGATACTGTGTCAAACACGAACACTCTAGGACACACGATGATACGTCTCAGGGCCTGTTCTCATTGACTGAACTCAGCTGAACTGAACTGTACTGAGCTGAACTGAACTGTACTGAGCTGAACTGAATTGAACTGAGCTGAACTGAACTGAACTGAAATGAAATGAATATTTTATAAGAGAAGGAAATTAGGAGCTGAGCTGAACAACCTGAACTGAACTGAACTGAACTGAACAGAGCTGAACTGAATTGAACTGAACTAAACTGAGCTGAACTAAACTGAACTGAGCTGAATTTCAACGTAAGTGAACAGGCCCTCGGATCGTACCCTACTATTATATGAATTGTTTAAATTTTTATAAAAAGAGCAAATTTAAGTAAATAAATAAGGAGTTGTTAAATAATATGGGTGCATTCATATATAGCTCATTGTTAATATGGCACAATATGATCTAATGAGAGGATGAAATGACAAATATATGGTCAATTTTATTTTTTTAAAATATACTTTATAAAGGTTAATATCCCGTACCCATGTCTCTTATTTTGAGATAGACGTTTTTCCGTATTCGTTTCGTACCCGTATCTATGACAGTGCCGTTCTTGTGCAATCTAGACTACACACTGATAAGGTGTTGGGTCACTTTGAGGTTTGGGGTTCGTATTCTCCGAGGCTCCAAGTGAGGGTTCTTAAGGTTATGGAACCCCTTACCATCCCATCTACTTTCAAGTATTTAACCTGCAAATATTAATAAAAAAAAAAAAAAAAAAGTGAGGGTTGAGGTCTAATAATGTTCCTCCTTACATTCTCTCTGTTCCATAATACTTGACACAATTCTATTTTCGCCCATCCTACAATACTTGACACATTATTGTAAATAGAATGAGATCACTAATAAAAAAAAAATATTTTCCCACATTTTTTCTCTCCTCAACTACCCTACTCCCACCCCACTTGTTTTTTTTTTGTTATACTCCATCCGTCCCTTAATACAAAGATTATTTCTAGCATTTATTACTCACATAATAAAGAGTAGAAACATACTTTTGATTTAGGGACGGAGGGAGTATAAAAATTCAAAAGTGAATCTTTTATAGGATAAACTAATATTTTAAATAGACGGTTGTAGTTTAAAACTACGTGTCCACCCCAACATCCCAAGTATTATGGGACGGAGAGAGTATTAAAAGACAATTGTACATTATTGTACTATACATTACGTCAATTATTACTGCTCTTTTATAGTAATTGCAGTATTTTGTCTTTTTACTATTTATATGCTAGTGCTTACTTTGAAGTATTAGCGTGTTTTCTGTATGGTTGACCATACTGTGTAACCCCCTGATTGATCAAGTAATCCTTGACCGAGTAACCTTTAACCGATTGATTAATTTCTAACTGAGTAACCCTTGACCAAGTAACCCCTGACCGAACGGACAACTTCTGACCAAGTAAACTCGACCACTGATTAGAAATTCTCTTAAGGAAATTATCCTTTCATAAATATTATCCTTTCATGATTTTTTATGTGTAAAAAATCGTTTATCAAACAAGCTTTCATCTAATTTCAAAAAAAAGAAAAAGGAAAAACCTAGTATATACTCCGTGTTTAGGGTAATTTTACCCCGCCACGTGGTCCAATCAGAGGACGACACGTGTCAGTCTCAGGATGGCCCAAAGTGGACCAAACTCTGCTTGACACGTGTCGCTCCAGAAAATAAGGGAAAAAAGGGCGGCCTTCAGGCCAAATCCCGAGAAAGCCGCAAAGCGGCGCAACTCACCACTGATTAGGGTACAGTGACCTAATCAGGGGCACAAATCCCAAAGACCCTATAAATAGGGAGATGACCCTCTTTTTGGGGACACGTTTTGATAATTTATTACACATTTACTCTTTGATAGAGACATCATGAGTTTGGAATTCGAGCAGATCCCTATCTAAATTTCCGCACCTTTTTTCTCCCTTCAAGTTTCTAACTTGAGCGTCGGAGGCGGAGCACCACCCATCCGGTGTCTCCGTTTGTTTTGCAGGTACAGCTCACCCCGGATTAGTCTTCGTGTTGTAACTCTCGCGAGGGACAAAAACACCCAAAACATTTGGCGCCGTCTGTGGGGAGAGTACCTCGAAAATGGTTCAAGAGTCTGTACCACCCCCTAACCGTCTAGGTGAAGACCCAGAAGTCTTTACAGACTATGAGGAAGAAGATCCTCAGGTCGATACCTTTATAGCCGAAGACGGCTCTCTCAGAATCAAGCGCATCCGGCCCAGAGAGACTCTGGAGCGGGGTGCCTCCCAGGCGGGTGCAAGTAGACCCCCTGGGCAGCCAGAAGGGGAAACCCAAACGGCAGCTGGATCAGCGCCTGTCACCCGGGACGAGCTCATGAGATTCATGACAAGTTTCAAGGGTGAAATTAAAGAGCTGATCACCCAGAGCCGGGCTGGCCCAAGTAGAGGTCAGTCGGCCAAGAAGACTCCTCTGGAAAAGGGGAAGTCAGTCAAAAATCAGCAGCCAACTCCCCATCCAAAGGATAAGGCAGCCGGGACCATTGATTGGTCCAAAATTCTTCTCCCCAAGGGGAATAACAATAACACCCGCCGGACTCAACAGTCGGTGAGAAGTAAAAAATCAACTCTTGATGCCCGGGAGATCATTAACCGGAGGAGAAACCAGTCGCTGTCTGAGTCGGCTTCAACGTCGAACTTTCCAGACAGCTTCAACAATACCTCTGTCGGGAATATATCTTCCTTGCATGAGAGTCAGACAGGCGGTAATACCATCCATTCTGGCCCTCACATGATTGGAGTTGTACCGTATGTGCCTACTCAGGCTTACGGACAGTA